GTAACAATAGTCTGGAATGTGTATAGGGATTGGACATGTTGGGGGGGTACCCCTCGGTCTCATTTCTTGCTGGGTATAGTTCCCAAGGGTTTGGACAATTAGTCGGGTTCCATCATTTATGTCATAACTGTGATGTGACATTATGTCATAACTGTGCCTGAAGTCAGGCGGACATGATGGTTTTTGGTGTGGCGGTTATTTGAAGTTCAAGGCTGCATGCGTGCCAGCCTGCGTGCATTAGCACCGCAGTGGAAACACGAAAACCTTTTAGCTTTTGGCTGACCAGCCTTAAACAAAATGGCCGCTACGCAAGAAGAATCAAAGAAGTTACTCTAAAACGCCCACAGTCTCAGCTCCTCATAAAATGTACAGTATAGACATCGGAAAAATGTCGAAGGGGTATTAATTCTAGCTTGCAATAAAATAAAACCTTCATTGGGTACAGAGTACTGAAGTGTGACGTCATTTAATACCCAAAAGGGCCATGCAGACGAATAGAGTTCGTGCGCGTGCGGGTTCAAACGCTTGTAGTTTCAGGCATGGCTACTGCTGTTGAGGGGATGTTTTCGGTGCCTGGTCCCCGCCTTTGGAACCAACTTGTAATTCAACTTAGGGACTCTAAGAGTGTAGTGTGTTTTAAGACTGTTTTTTTTAGCAGGCATTTTTAGTCTCTAAGACTTAGAACAATTTTAATTAGTAATTTTGGGCGTTTATAATGTTTACTACATGAAGTGAATATATGTGCCGGAGAAGTTAATGGATTGGGCGCTTAAATTTCAAATTATAATAGGGCACGTGGCGTATCCACTTCGGTATCTATCTGTTTCACAGTGACTTCGTCAGTCACGCAGAAGCACTACATATTGTAGGCTCCCATTGCCCGGGACAAACACTAAATTTGCGCTAACTTCCTCCTTTATGGTTCTAGGTAATTCTATGTGTAGAGGTGTGATTTAAACTGAAGTGATGTCACAATATACGAAACGGATAGGTGACAGATCTGGGGGCTCTGAACACAACGAAAGCGAGTTAATGACACTTCGCCAGCCCACTCTGGCTGTTCATTGTAAAAACTATATAAGCCCGTATATGAGTCATCTGGCAGCATCCAGATATATGGAGTGCTTCCAGCCATTAGCTTTCATGAACTCTAGTTTAATTTACCAGCATAAGCCACAATTTTCAAATACAGCAATGTGCACCAATAAGGCCGAATATCATTGCTTACTTGGTGATAGGTACTTGTTGATGAAATCAACGATATCATGGGGTATAGACCTGTGTAAAATTCAGTGTTGTTGCTGAAATACTCAACAGAAGATACTTTGGGCAAAATAGACTTAAAATCAAGTCGTTAGTCGGTCGTGTTTGTCGTCCAGAGCATTATGAGACAACATGCTGCGTCGGTTTACAGTTAGTGCTGAGCCTGTTCAGCGTTGCCCGCGATCATGCGTGCCGAGCTCCTTCGGCCTGGATACCACAGGTGGTCGTGGGCTGTTCAATACCGGATTTCGGCGCCCGTCTAACGACTTGATCAACCTGACTCCAGATGGGATATTTATGTGTGCAACAACTACAATGAATATTTATACATTTCCATGGAGAGCGCCAATAGTAGCTCACGCTACATAACAGCTAGACCCATCTATTTCATACATAGAGGTGTCTATATTTGACTAGTGCCAGTCTCTCTCATATCTTGCATCAAAATCCCTTTTAATACGACGCTTAAAGAGAAAGCATACATAATTATTGAAGAATAAATCTATAAACTATCTTTCTTGGAAGAAAAAGTTTTTATATGGGAAATATTATTTCTAGAATAATGTAAACACCCTCTTCAATGAAAGAGACTGTAGTTGTTGCTAATAAACGTTCAATTTACCAGTCAAACTGCCCTTAATATTAATACAATGATTCTTAGCCAATCAGAGTGATCCGTCTAATTTTAGTAGCAAGCCACATATGTTTTGCACAAAGGCTTGCAGACTGTTCGAGTCGGTAATTTGGCACCGCCGAACGTAGTCCCTGACCAAAGATTTCCTGACGACCCTTGATAAAGAATCTTAGATAAGGCACCCACGGATATAAATAGATAAAACACAGGGGTCAGAGGTCACAAGTTGAAATCCCCGATGTTTTCGATTTAATTTCTTTACGTGGTGGGTTCCAATTCAGCTGAGTGTTCCCTGATGAGGCGCACTTGAAAAAATCTCAGAAAATTCAAAATCATACATAAGCATTTTCGAAATTCTTTTAGTTGATCAATTCTTGTATAGCAACATTCTTCCACGCACACACCCATCAATAAGTAAGTTGTTTGTAACGTTGTTGTTATATGACAATGCATGATTGTTGACAATTTACGTTCAATAAGCCCGTTGGTCGATTGGTGAAATGAAGTCACGAGAGGGCGCAATATAAATCAGCGCACAGCATATGCTCAATCGAGTCCGCCATCGAGTCCTGCCGTCTTGGCCCAAACCTAGTCTAACACCAGAACTGTCTTTTGAGACAGTAGCAGGCACTGACAAGCAGCGCTGGATGCACTACTTGAACGTTGGCGAATTTTCAACCAAATTTTATAAGGAAACTAATCAGGGGCTTATAAGACTTTGACAGTTTTCATGGCGAAAGAACTTATGCCAAGCCAAGTCAAGACCCAAGATCCCAGATCCACCCCCGGACGAAGTGTCTCCTATACCCAAAGCCAACTAGTAAGGGCCCCTAGTTCCATCATTCTCCCCTACTTCGGCAGTACTTCCCACCATAATCCAGCGCATTCTCCACAAGCACGGTATTTCCACACAGCCCCACTGCAGTTGCACAACCTGCTCACCTCGCACAAGGACCGGCAGGACCACCAGCGCAGACCAGGTGCGTACAGAATACCTTGCCAATGTGGCTAAGTGTACATCGGCGAGACGGGCAGGGACCTCCCTACCCGAATCAACGAGCACAAAGCTCATGGCAGGAAGGGAGAGCTTGAAAAGTCGCCGATAATTAAGCACTCCCACACTGACGATTTATAGAAAAAAACAAAACAAAATGTACTTACAAGAGGTGGCTACAGAAAGAGACGATGTGAGTCGGTCCTGAGCGTAGAGGCAAAACGCTCCACTCCCAACGGGCAACCAAAGAAAATTACGTAACTGCATGCTGAAAAAAAATGTACCAACAGGTGTGATCAAGGGAAGACTGACTGGATTTTATGGGGACTATCATGTAAATTGTGACTTCAAATAAGGAAACTGTTCAATCAAGGGAAAACATTAAAAAGGCAGAGCGTAGACGATAACAGCCAGAAATTTAAGAAGTCCTTCAAATTGAAAAGTTAATATTTTCAGTCCAGGAATAACCTCAACCCAAACTGAATGCGAACTCGGAGTAGTCAGTGTGTACTACGAAGTTTTCCAAAGTGATAATTAATAGAACTTTCTGTCCGTTGCTCTGAGTGGGACATCTGTTTTATAGCGGAACTGGACTGAACTGGATTTGGGTAGGTTGGAGAATTTTTATGAGGAGATAATTGAGCTGTGGGTCATTTAGAGAAAAACGAATGGAGCCTATGTTGACTTACCTTTCTTCCTCTGTGGTCATTTCTAGAAATGTCTTTGTCCAGTTCACTTGTTGAACCTGCACTTGCAATGCAAGCAAGCTTTGGTGATGACAGCGATGATTCCAATTCAGATGTTTCCATGGCATCTGAAGAAAGTGGAGACGAGTTGGCCATTTACAGACCGGTTTTTACTTTTACACCATTTTGATTTGTAGTTTTCGCATTTACTCAGTTTCACTTGTGCATCTTTTTCTGATTACCTTACGTTCATAATGTTTTTCATCTGTACATTTCCTATTTATGACCATCCTTTCATATTGTTGGATTTGTGCATTTTGCATTTCCTCATTTTGTTTTCCAATTTGAATCGTTTTGAACAGATGTTACACTCACGAAGTGCATTTTTCACTGGTGCTATCTTAGAACCAAACATGTATACTTTGATTTTGTCTTTACTGGTCCTTTTTTATCTCGCTGATACATGGATTTCAATGCATTCGTGCATTTTTCAAGTGCGGTGATTGTATACTTTCTTTTCTCAGAATACAAATGATGCACTAAAAATAGTCTTTACATGTGACTTATTGTGCATGCCACAAAGCTCTTCCTTACAGATTCAAGTATGGGTTCTGCCAACCCCCCCCCCATTTACAGCCCCCGTTGAGATGTAAATAGACAAGGCCGCAGTGGCATTTACTCTTGGGAATTACAGATTGGTTAGTAATCCTCTTTGACTACATGGAGAATGATAATTTGGGTACATGTCTGATGGTGCAACACTGTCACGCGCCTTTCCCCCGGTAAATGTTGATTAACATCATTAGACCCCCCCCTCAACTCCTACCCCAAGTTTTTCTCAATTCAAGAATCTGCCTTATCTTTAAACAGAAGAAACACTACTTTGTGACGGCGTTACTGCTTTTAAAGTATTAGATGTTTTTGCGTTTGTGTCATCTTAAATGCTATCGCATATCGAAATGAAATCTATCAGCATAGGACAGCATATAAATTATTTTAATTACATGTATATGTTAATTACAAAGTAATTCGATGATATAAACTGTTTAAAATTCAGTACTCGCCTCATTTCGTAATTGTATAGGCGCATCTATTGTCACAATCATACCCGCAGAAACCAATATTTAAATGGAATCGTTTTTAGATATCAACAAAGTACTTTTCGTATTAAAATCTACTAGATACACCGGGCAACGATCTAGAGTGTTATCTAGTGCCCCAGGAAGTCAAACGAAACATCGGCAAACACAGCGGTTGCAGCTAAAGACAGGTTGGTTTGTTAGTTGGTTTTGGTGATTGAAGGTGCGATTTGTGTGTCAGTTTTGCCGTTTTTTGAGTTTGTCTAATTTTTGGCAACTGATCCTTAAAATATCTCTCTACATCTTATCTGGTTGAATGACAAACCGCTGTAAGAACAGTAGAGAAAGGGCTTTCATTTGTCTTTACACAATTAAGAATTAAGAGCAAGTTAATGCACTAGTGATTGTTTCCAGTTTGAATTAAAAGCCCAATATAACAATTGGCGTTTCTTTGGGTTTTCTGTGGTGCATTACTGGAGCTGGGGCAGACAATCACTTCCATAACAAAGGCTTTGGCTGGGGATGTTATTTTAGTTGCTGCAACGCAGGTATCAATGGTTCTTGCCAGATATTATTTCCGCCAAGATTCACCCCAAATACTACCATTTTAAACCTTAACATGTAGATCTTTGAATAGTAGCTGTTGTTTGTTTGTCGTTTCATTGCTAAAGAGAGAGGGGAAAACGCACAGAATGAGATACAGGTTTTATAAACCTATTCTGCCCTGCGTGCTGAAATAGATGCTTTGGTTTATAGCTGCCAAATAAAATTCGGTATTGGTTTTTTTATACTTGTATATCTTGCTGATTAGGTTTTAACTTTGAAGGCCAGGACCTCTTCAGAATTTGTTGAACCTAAAATGGATGACGTAGATGGAGCATTGAAGAAAGCTAGTGTTCCTATGCAAGTGGTTTGTGGTGTTGCCATGGTATTGAATCTTCTGGTTGTGCTGGTGTTCGCTAGAACCAAGCAACTTCGTGTAAAGTATTACGGCTTCATCTTCAACCTCGTCCTCGCCGATATTGCCTTCCCAACTATAATGATCATTTTGATACACCTTAGGCACGTGCCAACAGTTGTTGCCCTCGCTCGGGCTTTTCTTCTAACTGCACAGCTCAGCATCTTAGCCGTAGCCGTAAATCGTCTGCTTGCCTTGTCTCTGATGCCACCCGCCCGCTATGATGCTGTGGTAACACCTGCTCGCATGGTGCTTGCGTGTCTATTGATTTGGATCGTATCTGCTGCGTTGTTCGTACCTACAACGTTTCTCCAGGATCAAAAACTGAACTGGTTGATCCAAGCGCTGCTTCCTCTTATAACCCTTCTCATTACTGGTGTTCTGTACTTTGCGGTTTTCCGTAAGATCTCCAAATATCAAGCGCCACTGGCTTCCACAACTGGAACCAGCAAAGTCGATGAACAGACAAGTAGCCGTATACGCCAAACGCGCCATTTGATGGTGACCTTCACCATCATATTTGTGGCATCTGCTGTCTGTTGGCTTCCATTTTGTGTGGGCTTTTTAATACTGTTTGCTCATGGCAAAACCACCTTTTCGGTAGTAATTTACCTGCGCTACAGCTACACCGTAATGACACTGAATTCTGCGCTCAATCCCTTTGTCTACTGGTGGCGTTTGAAAGAGGGAAGAGAAGCTTTGTACCACCTGTTCTGCGGATGTCGTAGTAACCAGAGAACAGAAAGAGAAAGAGGTGCTGTAACAATCGCGGAGACGGAAATGTAAGACTGGCATATTTTAGGTCATTAGAAATAATATAGAATCTGTGACAAGGCAAGGCTATGGTTTTAATGTTCAGCAATTCTTATGGTTAATGATACAGTAATAAATCATATAGTTTATTAAAGGGTATTGTGTGAAGGGAATTGGGGCTGTTTTAAGGAACGTTTCATATCTTTTAGTCGTTCCCGGCTGTATGTAATTCACTGTATTAGTCTAGAAAAATAAATATGGACAAACATGTACGGTGGTCTATAGCAATAAATACAGACATGCATGCACGTACTAGATATTCAAGAAAGCCCTCTATGGTGGCGGGCATCAAAGAATTACTATTTTACTCATTATTGGAAATTTTCAATTTATAATCATAAATAACTGAGATCGACAACTGTAACTGATATGTCTGGATTCCATGTGAAAATGTACATCGTAACATTTTTATTCTTCTATCATTAAATACTACAAATTATGGCATTGTATAGAGTGATAGTCTACAAATACCATGCTTCAAAAATTAAGAATAAGTAAAGGTTATCTTCGATATGTCGCGAAGTATTACTCCCATCCTACTGTGAAAAGTTTAGAGTTGTGAAAAAAAGGCTTGTTAAATTCCGAAAACTGAAGTGTCTTTTATATTGGGAAGCTGTAATTACGTTTTCATCAAAGCAAGGTCACAATACAGGTGTTGAGGGTTAATTGTAAACTTTTATATTCATATTAGGAAATTACTTCCATTTTATTTCATCCATGATATCAACTACTCAGTTTCATTGGAAATAAACGGGTACACGTAAGCTGTAGGAGATTTTGGAACTCAAATTTCCTCTTTGTACCATGAATCATAAAGGCAAACGAGAATATTTGAAAGATTGACGTGTACAATGTAAAACCAGAGAACACTTGACGCGTTTATAAAATGTGTTTATGTATTTACAACATTAAACACAATATGTATTTTCTAAACTCTGGTGGTTAGAACATGTTCAGATTACCTCAACACTGCGTTTACCTTATATAAATTTTCCGAAGTACTATGATTAAATATCAGACTAAGAGCTCAAAACAAGTGTCGATGACAAGGACGGAGGTCAGTGTGAAGTTGCAATTACTATTTCTAAAAAAAATGGTATACCAAATGACACTCAAACATAAAAATTAGATTTACGGAATCATAATATGGTCGACAAACTCATAATTCATTTCTGTGATTAGTTCAAGTACAGGTGCGTAGCCACCACTATTTGCATCACTGTTTGTAAGTAACTGAGTCTAGAAAAGTTGAATTTTTCCCAAAGAGCAGTACATCCTCAGCAACGCATGCCAGTTTGTAAACACTGTATTCACTGCCATTCTAAACTGAGTGTTTCAAATTGGACTCATGATCATGCGCAAACCAATTTTTTTTCTGCCCGGATACATGGTCTAAAATTAGCTGGCATCTGGTTCGTAAGTGACTTCCAAAAGGAAGACGCGCCAAAATTTACAGGCTCCCATTGGACGATGCTGAAGTTGCGCAGTAACTTCCAGTTCCACGGTTCGAGTAAACCACCATCAATACATGTAACTCTATGTGCTGTGCATGTGCAGTGGGCGTCGTCCAAACTGAGGTGACGTCACACTTACGAACCGGATTGATTCCCGCTATAAAGATTCCCTTATTTTAAACTTGTGTGTGGCAAATGGACATATGACAGCCAAAATGACAACCAAAGGTCTTTGAAATAATATGATACAAGTGCAGTTTGAAGGTTTTTTTTTATCAAGGCAGCCTGCAATTACCTGGCGGGAATGGTCGTCTCGGTACTTTACTGTTGTTTTATGTCGATTGTAGGACCCTATAAAAAGGAGTCCTAAAGGCAGAGGCATATTTCTGTGTTATATAATTAAACACATTTGAGTTCTTAAACACTTTATAACTTCTAAACGTGTTAACATGTTTATAAACAGTTACATCATGTAGACATGTCAAAATGTTTATAGCTAAACGCTTCCTTAAACACACTGACATGTTTAGTTGAATAAACCATGTGTTTAAATATTAAACAATGTGTATTTACTGGTCCGTTATGTTGGAGTGCTAAACGTGTGTTTATGTTGTAAAAGTGTTGCAAAAACGTGTTTATAAAGTGTTTAGAAACTAAACACTTGGATTTACAGTGAATGCGTGGTATGATTTACGGTTTTACAATGTAAATAGTTGCAGATACAGAGGCTGAGTAAATACAATCAATAATCATATACTTATAAATGCATTGCCTTAAATTACCTAGCGCAAAATCGACCTGTAAATAACGCAATGTGAGTAACTGATAATTAATGTATGTAACTGTCAATG